GTGTGTGCTCTCCCATGCTCTTCTCCCTCTACATCAACAACTGCACCTCAAGAGACCATCTGTCAAACTCCTGAAGTTTGCTGACAACACAACGGTCATCGGCCTCATCCGGGACGGTGATGAGTCGGCCTACAGACGGGAGGTTGATCAGCTGGCTCTCTGGTGCGGTCAGAACAACCTGTAACTTAACATGCTCAAAACTGTCAGGAGGAGCTCCTCCATCACCATACTCAACAGCCCTGTGTCTGCTGTGGAACCTTCAAGTTTCTGGGATCCACAGTATCCCAGGACCTGAAGTGGGAGCCCAACATGGACACCATCATCAAGAAGGCCCAGCAGAGGACGTACTTCCTGCACCAGCTCAGGAAGCTCAACCTGCCTAGGAGCTGCTGATCCACGTCTACAAGCCATCATCCAGTCTGTACTCTGCACGTCCATCACTGTCTGGTTTGGATCTGCCACCAAAAAGGACAAGGACAGATACAACAGGACAGTCAGGACTGCAGAAAAGATCATCGGTGCCAACCTGCCCTCCATACAGGATTATACATTTCCAGAGTCATTCATATTGTCATATTGTATACTGTATACCAATCCACCTACCTCATGTACAAAACCTGTACATACTACTTATTTATTCCGCATTCTTCGCACTTCCCAAACTGTGTACATGAACGCTTGTATGTGTACGTGCACCTGTTTATCACATCCACTCCAACGTACAAATAATAACATTAATGGTAATAGTATTTTCACCTTTGCACTCGGCTCATCAAACTATTACACTGTTGTCTCAATCTGTCTGTTTGTTTTGTTTATAGTGTGCATATATGTGTTCTCAATACTGTAGCCTGTGTTGATTTTATTACTGTATATTGTGTTATTGTATAAGTAAGCACATTGTGAGCAGTGTACAATCCAGAGTCTAATTTTTGTATGTGTACACATACCTGGCAATAAAGCTGATTCTGATTCTGATTAGCATCCCAATTAATATACAGTTACCGTGACTCATGGAGGAATCTTACTAACCAAGCTAGCTAGCTCCTCCTTCTCGTCCAAATATGGTCACCAAAACCCCCAGATGGCTACGGCCAAAATACCAAACTTGAGAATGAGATCCTCTTATTTTATACAGTGATTTAGGCTAAATGATCAGCTTGTTATCAAACAGCTTTAGGAGTTCATAGTGACATTTGAATCATCTGTGTTGAGCAGGCCTACTCAAGTAGAAGTTTGGGAAATGTTATTTTAGAAATCAAAAGAGTACTAAGAGTATCTCAGTGTGGGAGAAAGAAAGGAAGAAAGACATTTAATATGTTGTATTGGTGTTCATTCAATATGCAGCCTACATCATTTTAAAAGCTGTTTCCTTCTACAGTATTAATAGGAAATTGTTTCGGCTGTATGCAAAGTGACTGTAAATAACAGTCTGGCACTTCAGTATATTATATTATTATTTTTTCAGCCTACCTGAGCACTGAAGTGTGTTCTTATATGACTTAAGTCTGCATATGGCATTTCTCACATCATGTCTCACAGTTGGTGCTGATGCAATATCATGCATGAGACAAAAAAGAGGAAGATAAATCTGGTTGACCATCGTGTCTGGTGATTCACAGGTCACTTAGTTTTCAACTAATAATTTACTAGATGTGAAAAAAATTTACTTGATTCTTATGAGAGCTTTCTGGATAGTAGACTGTGTGAATAATTACAGGGGAAAAGTCATTCAGTATTTGAATTTGCAAGAAAGAACCAAAGACTGCTGTTGGAAGGGGTTAAGCCCATAAATATCTGTTAATTGAGAAATCAGAAAATATTTTAAAATTACTTTAATCACCAAAAAAGCACCACACTAATTATTTTTATAATTATCGTGTCCGCTAGCTACAGTGAGATCTAAGGTCTGAGGTCTCCCCATGGTCAGCAGAATGTTTTAACAAGCTGTTAAAAACCAACCTCCTTAAGCACTTCGTCCTGTAATGTGAGCATTTGCCATTTCTGTAGTTTTTTTGTGTTTTTTATTGTTTGGTGTGTTTGCCTCCTGTACGGTTATTATTTTTTGTTGTTGTTATTTCCTGTTTTTAATTTTGTACTTTTCCTCCAGGTTTGCATTATGCAGACCCATGTAATCGGGTTCGAAAGGCACTTAATAAGCACATTTGCATTCAGGTATACAGTGACACATGGTTAACAGGACCAAAGGCTCAATTAGCAGGAGGGCAGGAAGCAGGAATGAAAGTTGGCGTATAACAAGATCAAGGGGGCCAAACCAGTTGGGGATCGGGAGCAGCTCCCAGATGTCACTCGATCAGCAAGTCCACACTGCTCAAATATGTATTTCTTCATTGTATGTTAAGGGATTGCAAAAGAACAATCATTCAAGTGACCACGAAGTTTACAGCAAATCACTCAACATGTCAACATCACGTCTTGAAAAAATCTGTCTCTGTCTGGAAGAATGAGAACATTGCTGATGTTTATGACAGGAAAAAACTAAACGACAAAATTTATGGTTGCAGGTGTTGAAACTGTAGCTTAGTTTTAGAAGTATGGTTTAGCTATGCCGACAAGTTACAACAATATGAAGCAGTAAACAGAATCTTAGGGTGGAATGTCAAGGTGTATGTGTGAGCGGCAACAGTACAGGGCCAACAAGGCATACCAGATGTTAACCCTACTGTCACCCGCAGTACACAGTGTGTGTGCAACTATTACACTCCACAACACCTGGTGCTGGATGGAAAACAAAAGAATCTCGTGGAACAAGTGCTCAGATCTTTTACTTAAGTAAAAGTTGTAATACAACAGTGTAGAAATAGAAGTAGTGCTGCATTCAAAATGTACTTATGTAAAAGTGCAAAACATCATCAACATATACTTAAAGTATGAAAAGTGCTTAGTATGGAGAGTGGCCCCTTCAGAATATCAGAATAATGTATGTTGTTGGATCTTAGATAGTGATGAAGGGATGTGTACATCCTTAATGATGCAGCTGGTAAGGAGGAGCTAATTTGAATTTGAATAGCTTGTGAATTACCATTGGGGATCAATAAAGTTTATTATCATATAATATACATAATCATTTATGTTGATTATAAATTTCAATCTGCAAAGCAACCTGCAGCTAAATAATTGCTGTGGAGTAAAATGCATAATGTTTACCTTCGAAATGTAGTGGAGAAGAAGTATGAAGTAGCAGAAAATGGAAACACTTTAGTAATGTACAAGTACCTAAATTGCACTTGAGTAAATGGTCTCAATTACTTTCCACCAGTGCAAAAAGAACAACATACTGATGTCATCAAGAATGAACTTGAACTGGAACTGATGCTCCAGTTATGATTTACAAGCAGAGGCAAAGCAATAAGCATTATAGCTTATTTGTCCAATTACCTTATAACTAATACATTAACATAACATTATAGCATCTCTTGAAAACAGTCAGATTACAGTAGCCTACAATCATTAACTACACAGAAATACAGTAACTTTTTGTCAGTACACAGATCATTTCAGCCCTCAGCCTGATGAGGTGAGAGTTCATCATCAGTCCAGTAACATTATCTCATATAGCCCAACTGTCACCACAGGACTCTACTGTTGGAATGACATGTGCAGACTACATGGTCACTATTATTATAACATGAAACACAGTAGATCAGGTCTGAATGCTCTGGTTGATTTTAGAGCCTAATAATGTGATGTCAGCAGCTGTTTGCTCTGTTTGTCACAATTGGAGCAGCTGAATTGGTGTGATGCGCGGATCGGCTCGTGCATTAACGGAATACTCATATAGGCCTTTATGCAAAATCATCCCCGCCCCCACCAACTAATATTTATCAGCTTTAGAACAGCACCTGCACGGGCATTTTCCCACCTCCACGGTCCTGTAGCTTCAGGTGATTTCTTTATTGTGTTATATGATGGATGAGTGCTTTCTTTAGCGATTGAGTTTTTGATTAGAGAGGCTGCTGTCAGTCATTTAAACGTTTCCGTCCGTGTAGTAACGTCAGCAAAATCGTGCCACAAAACCAAAAACATTGCTTACTGTTTAGACGCTCCTATGGATTAATTAGTCTATGTTGCTGTGACTCTTGCATAAATGCGCACAGCGTCTCTGGAGAGGCGCTTCACCCAGCAGCCGCTGTCATTTTAATGGTCCTGCTTCCCATCCATACATCACATCCAACAAACATAAGCGATATCAAAGTGAAATGATATGAAGGAATGCGGTTATAACTGTATTTTATGACGGGAAGGGCAGAAAGTTTGATCGTCTAGTTGATCATTTTAAATAATTACAGTTTTTTACTAACACTTTGTTACTATTTTCAGAACCCTGATGTCATTTTTCACAACTCTAGACACAAAACGGTTATCATTTGTAACACAGGCTGCACAATGCAATGTTCAAAACATTGCATTGTGTTCAAAATTGCAATGTTCAAAACATTGCATTGTGCATTCACATCTTTAAAGAAATCTTGCACTTGCACAATCATTGGTTCAAAAACCAAATTTACTGTGAAATACCATTGAAACATAACTATAGATCACCCACACACACAAGCAACCCATAATTTCACTGTGTCATTGTTCGTACAATCATTAAATATTTAGAACAAATTAGATACAGGTTCATTATGGTAACTGTACAGTAATACATCTCTGTAAAAGTACTGCAGTAGTAGAGAGAATACTACAGACACAGTGGAATCGTTGAACAAAGTTTGTATATTGATGCAAAACACCACAGTACAATCACAACATAGGTTTATTTGAATCAAAGCAAAAATAATTAGCTATGAAATCAGGTTAAGGAAGGGAGAGTATGGGGGTAAATACAGGGTGGTAAATTGTGCATGGGCCTGAAACCATGCTTGCACCACATGAGCATGATGGAACCTGACATTGTCCCACACATGACATAGGTCACACCTTCAGCTCTACAAACCTGATCGAGCTCATCAAGAAAAGTGACAAGGAGAGCTGCATTATATGGTCCAACATGAGGTCTGGTCCACCACACTATCTTCTGATATAACCGCACACATGGTAATATTGGCTCCACGTTGTCCAGGTACTTGGATGGTTGCCCTCTGGCCAATGAAATTCCGACCTCTCCTCTTTGTCTTGGCCAGATTAAAACCTGCCTCATTCAAATATATGAATTTGTGATGGTCGTCATCAGCATCCAGCTCCATCACCCTCTAAAAATACATTTTGGAAAGAGATTTAGAGATTAGTGTACATTGTAGAATTTTTGGGAATGTTTTTACAACAGCCGTCTTGAAACTGAACTTACCTGAACATAGTCAGTCCTCATTTGCTTCACTCTGTCTGCATTTCTTTTGAAAGGCACACGGTACAGTTGTTTTATATGAATTTCTGTAAGGCGAATATCATTTCTGGCCCCAACCAAATCCACCACAGCCTGCTCTTGTTGGTCAGTTAGAATTTTACCTCTGCCTCCACTATTTGGCCTGGTCACAATTCTACAGGGAAGACACTTGGTCACATCACCTATTCTGTGATACACATTGGTATGCATTATATCATTTGACAATTGGGAGTAGCATAATGTTTAGTGCATGCTGATAACTTACTGGTTCTCATTGCGGAAAGTTCTGAGTATTGAGGCCACGGTTGACCTTCTGAGGTTTGATTGTATCACTGTAGCCGCCTCAGTCATTGTCATGCCGTGATTCATGACATGGTCCACGACTATTGCCCGAATTTCATTGGGCACTCGATGCTGTTGTTGCCGCTGTCTTGGTCCGTGGCCTTGTCCTCTACCACGTTCCTCCACACCTCTCAAACGAGGCCCACGACCACCTCTCAGAAGGGGTGCCTGTCCCCTGCCATTCCTTTGACCAACACGTCTTCTCGTCTTCCTCCCACCACCATTGTGACCTGGATCACCTGCTGGCTCCATGTTATGTATCACTATGCTCTTGCAATTGGATCCCAATCAACTCTTTAAATACTCATTCCACAATGTGCACTCAATCATCAGTAACGAGTTGGCAGAATTGGACAAGCAATTACAAGGGCCTGCATCTATACAGTGCAGGACTGTCAATACTGTAAATAGTCTGAAAAGGTGGTACAGTATTTGGGACCATAGACACAGTGTCTGATGAAGTATTACAGTATGATAAAATATTAGGCTACATCCATGGATATTGTAGTCTAATTGGTTCATGCTCCACACTAATTGGTGACAATGAATCTCGTTATCTTGAAACTTTCATGATTATTTTTTTTATTTTTATTTTTTTAAACCTGTCCTGCCCTTTTACTTTAACAAGAGAGTATTATATAGTCCTTTGTCTGTTTTATTATTTATTTAATTATGTATTGATGTGTCACCGGGCCGGACAGGGGGGCAGACACGGGGATGGGGGGGCACAAACAGATAGCACAGAGACAGGACAACACCTGCAAGAGAAGGGGGAAAGGGGGATGGAGGGTGGGGACAACAGGGAAAAGCTGTGGGAAACACCAATTGCAGAAAGCAACGAAACCTGCAAGAGAACAGAGGGGGGCTTGGGGAGGAGAAAAACAACAACAAACAAACAATAAAATAATAATAATAGTAAAAGACAACCAGCCGAACAGCAGCAATGAACAGCTGACATAGTAAGACAATTAAGAGAACAATGAAAATTAAAGCTGCAAGCAGCGTTGGGCGGGCCCTCGCACTTGTAGCGCGTCCGCACGTGAGCCGGCCGAGTTGCACATTCTGGAGCTCTGCCGGTGCGGCTGTGAATTTCCTACGCGGTTCCGACGCCGCATGAAGGTGCTATATGTCACTTCCTGTGTCCCCTATGTGGAGCTACATAGCACTTGCCGCTATGAATATAAATCGGTATTGGTGTGTAGATGTCTGCGGGGTGGGAGAGTTATCAAGCACGTAAAGTTTGTTTCAGATGTGAGCATGTACACTGAACAATAATGTACCCAAACAATAAAATAAATTCCTTTTATATTTCCCTGCCTTGTTGTTTATGTGTACATACAGAGGAAGAATGTGAGAACAGCACACATTTCATCGTTACTGTGTGTTAGAGCATGGAGAACAGTGGATACTTTTAATACAGCCCACACCCTAATACTGTGTAACTATAACAAGTAGAGAACAGAAGAAAAAGATGTTCTTTCTTTACAACTGTCTGCATAGCTTATTCATATTGTGTAATGAATGAAAATAAATAGGCCTACTAGGCTCCTCTCTACTTTGACATTTAAGATTAGCTGTTTGATCCACCTTCATACACATGTGACATTACTGTACAACTTGAGAAAGGTGAGTTGTTTTCTGCTCCAGCCTGCCTAAAAGAAAAGCGTTTTTGGGATTAAATGGACTTTTTAGCTGCTGCAGTGCAGGATGAACTCAGAATAGACCCATTTCTCACCTTATTATTCTAAATCATGCAACGAAGAAGAAGAAATGCATAATAAATCCTGGGACAAAATCTGTCCACAGCATGTAGTCTGATGAACAAGACTTGTGTTATAGCTGACTTGGGCAGTGAAATGTTTAATTTTTTAATTCATGTGGTCATAGTTGTCCACAACTCAAATCAGAATATAAGAAGAAATGTTTTATACCACCTCAAGAAGGCTTCCTATCAGAAAGGTAGGAAGGTATTTCAAATGTACAACTGCAGTACTTAATCTAAGTAAAGTAATTTCCCTGACATTACAGTGTTACGCATGTAACAGGTTTTATACTTCCTGTGAGTATAATCCAATCAATCTTATTTTCATACTGTATATCCGTTGTGTAATTTGATAAATTGTGTATGTGTGCTGCATCGGGTGAGACTCTGCTCTTCAGAGAAGACTCTGACTGCAACATGCGTCTTTGTAAAGAGAGAAACGGACAGAAAAAGTCTCTAACTCTGCCTGTCAGCTCGCTCTGCTCCGTTAAAACTGAATTTACCATACAGAATTGAATACGAGTGCACTCCAGATTTAGCTGCAGCCAGCTGACCGTGTGCTTCTCTCTATACCGCAGTTCTGTGTCCATGCATGCAGCAAACTGAAAGCACTGTCTGTCGGAGCGTCTACGTGAAAAGAGAAGGAAGACATTGCTGGTAGTATTGTCTTCAGAGTTGTTAAACACCTCAGCGCACTGAAGGAAGCCATCTGACTGTGTGAGGGGCAAGATCGTTGATGTCTGCAGGCAGAGTAGAGCTCTCCTGTCTGACTGGTCCACCAATAGCAGAGAAGATGACCCCTTGAGACACAGCCCCTCCTCATTTGCATAATGAGGCAGAAATGCATACAAAAATTTAAAAAGACAGGCAGAAATAAATACCATGGGTGAAAATAAATAAGGTAAATAAATACAAAGGAAGAATAAAACAGACAAAAATATTAAAACACACACATAAATAAATACATTAAAAAAATTAGTAATAAATAAAGTTGAATAAACAAATAAGGTAATTATAACAAAGGTGAATAAGTAAAGGCACTAATTAAAATATAACATTTATGTCTCCTTGTATAATTTAATTACTACCTACATTTATTTATTTACTTTATTTTTTTGTGTATTTAATTGGATGCTTATTTATTTATTGAGCATTTATTTATTTCTGTATTTATTTCTGACTGTGTCAGGATCGGTCCTCCATACGGGGTGGGAGAGTTATCAAGCACGTAAAGTTTGGTTCAGATGTGAGCATGTACACTGAAGTTACAACAACTTCCTGTGTCATGGCGAAGACTTGATCTCTGACGCCACGCCACGGACACGCCCATTGACGAAAACTGCAAATAGCACAACTTTTCATCTTCAATGCCTTTAGAAGGCACAGCACAAATTTGAAGTCGGTCGGACTAAATCCCTAGGAGGAGTTCGTTAAAGTACGAAGTGTGTAAATCATCCAAAATTTGACGTAAAATTCAAAATGGCCGACTTCCTGTTGATTTTAGGGCATCGCTCCAAGAGGCTTTTTTGTGCGTCTGGACAAGATACACGTACCACAGAAAATTCGTGCACGTAGGTGAAACGTGCGGCGGGGGCTGCTTCGTTAAAGTCACTTCCTGTTGCCAGCAGGTGGCGCTATGACTGTGGGTGAATGTCAGCATGTACATGTGTTCAGGGCGGGACTCTCATCCTACATGTACAGTTTGGTCCAGATGTGAGCATGTACACTGAAGTTACGACAACTTCCGTGTCATGGCGAAGAGTTGATCTTTGACGCCACGCCACGGACACGCCCATTGACGAAAACTTGCAAATAGCACAACTTTTCATCTTCAATGCCTTTAGAAGGCACAGCACAAATTTGAGGTCGGTCGGACTAAATCCCTAGGAGGAGTTCGTTAAAGTACGAAGTGTGTAAATCATCCAAAATTTGACGTAAAATTCAAAATGGCCGACTTCCTGTTGATTTTAGGCATCGCTCCAAGAGGCTTTTTTGTGCGTCTGGACAAGATACACGTACCACAGAAAATTCGTGCACGTAGGTAAAACGTGCGGCGGGGGCTGCTTCGTTAAAAGTCACTTCCTGTTGCCAGCAGGTGGCGCTATGACTGTGGGTGAATGTCAGCATGTACATGTGTTCAGGGCGGGACTCTCATCCTACATGTACAGTTTGGTCCAGATGTGAGCATGTACACTGAAGTTACGACAACTTCCGTGTCATGGCGAAGAGTTGATCTTTGACGCCACGCCACGGACACGCCCATTGACGAAAACTTGCAAATAGCACAACTTTTCATCTTCAATGCCTTTAGAAGGCACAGCACAAATTTGAGGTCGGTCGGACTAAATCCCTAGGAGGAGTTCGTTAAAGTACGAAGTGTGTAAATCATCCAAAATTTGACGTAAAATTCAAAATGGCCGACTTCCTGTTGTTTAGGCTATGGCTCCAAGAGGCTTTTTTGTGCGTCTGGACAAGATACACGTACCACAGAAAATTCGTGCACGTAGGTGAAACGTGCGGCGGGGGCTGCTTCGTTAAAGGTCACTTTCTGTTGCCAGCAGGTGGCGCTATGACTGTGGGTGAATGTCGGCATGTACATGTGTTCAGGGCGGGACTCTCATCCTACATGTACAGTTTGGTCCAGATGTGAGCATGTACACTGAAGTTACAACAACTTCCTGTTTCATTGCGAATCATCGACGCCACGGACACGCCCATTGACGAAAACGCGCAAATAGCACAACTTTTCATCGTCAATGCCTTTAGAAGGCACAGCAGAAATTTGACGTCGATCCGACTAAATCCCTAGGAGGAGTTCGTTAAAGTACGAAGTGTGTAAATCATCCAAAAATGGCCATAAAATTCAAAATGGCCGACTTCCTGTTGACTTTAGGCTATGGGTTCTTGAGGCTTTTTTGTGCGTCTTGATGATACATGTCCCCAGAAAATTTCGTACATGTAGGTTGAACGTGAACGAGGGGCTAATTTTCCAATTTTCTAGGTGGCGCTAGCGAGTCATTTTGCACGCCCATGTGCGAAACTTGTAGAATACGAAATTTTTCACCGGTTCTGACATGTTTGCAAATTTTGGTGAGTTTTCGAGTATGTTTAGGCCATGTCATTTGGGCCTACTTTGCAAAAAAAAAAAAAAAAAAAAAAAAAAAAAAAAAAATTAAAGCTGCAAGCAGCGTTGGGCGGGCCCTCGCACTTGTAAGCGCGTCCGCGCGTGAGCCGGCCGAGTCGCACATTCTGGAGCTCTGCCGGTGCGGCTGTGAATTTCCTACGCGGTTCCGACGCCGCATGAATGTGCTATATGTCACTTCCTGTGTCCCCTATGTGGAGCTACATAGCACTTGCCGCTATGAATATAAATCGGTATTGGCGTGTAGATGTCTGCGGGGTGGGAGAGTTATCAAGCACGTAAAGTTTGTTTCAGATGTGACATGTACACTGAACAATAATGTACCCAAACAATAAAATAAATTCCTTT